AAGGCAGTGCAAGCTACACAGGGCAAGGTTCTTCACATTTCTGTCTGTACTAGTTAGTAAGTTAATTATTTGGTGTCTCTTTCCATTTTATTGTATGTATGCCAAGGGACCTATTTATAGTACACTGGGATTTAATTGAAGTAGTAGAAGGGCCAGTCTTCTGGCAAAAAAAACCCAGGTCTGATTTAAATATGTCATTGTATGGAGGATAAACTCTGGCCTATTGCAACTTCTCTCAAAACAAAAACCTGATAATTCTGGTGGAAAATCAGGCAAAACATACAATATGCATTTTTCACAACTTTGATATGGGAGTGTGATTTACACCTGTTCATACTTAGTTATTTATCTCATGTGCTGCTTGGATTCTTAACCTGTTTATTTATTTGTGCATTATAGCATTAGATAGGCAAGTGCTCCCTCACACTGAATATAATCAATATGTGCCTTCAGTATTTTCTCCTTGCCATTGCTTCTAGCTTTTTTGGTACCAACATCTTGCTAGGACCTATTTTTAGACAATGAAAGTTAAATCGATGCAGCTTGCACAGACTTGGTTAGAATATTTGACTGGAATGTCAGAATATGCTGTTTTAGCAAATGCAGGAGTCTATAGGAATCTGTTGGTTTTAACATCATTTTGGTATGGGATGGGGGGTGGCTGGAGAGCAAGTGCTTGTACTCTCTAGGCTGATGGAGAAGCCACTAGCCTAGAATATGGATAATGGATGACCTAAATTCTGGTCTTGGCTCTGGCTGATTAGGAGTAATTGAAGATAAATGGTCTTCCTTTGAGCTAGCACAGTATAGGCTTGACTGTGGGTCTTCAGTGTGCCAGGTTTTATCTGGTAGAACCATGTTGTGGCCCAGTTCCGATGGCAAAACTCTTCAGAAGATGAATCCCCACTTTTAAATCTAGAAAGTTGCCGCAAAATGACATCAGCTGCACCCAGAGGGCATTGCACAAAAACAAATCAAGGAAACACATGCATGTTCATCTATTTCTGTTTTACCCCCAGTTCTCACTGGCTAGGGCAAATTTAGGAAGGTGTTGCCTTTTCATAGTCTAGATGAATAATTTGTGCTTTCAGCTGAGTATCTGATTTGTTTGGTATTCCTGACTCACTACCTGTGTGGCAACTTTAACCTACAAGTCGCTCAGATACAAATGAGGACCAAGAATTATTACCTTAAAAGGTTTGTATGTTTGAGCACTGGGTACCAGGAAGCGTATTCAGAGTGAGCTTTTAATTATGTAGTATAATCCTTAAAGCCGTCTCCTGACCCCCTTGGCTGCAATCCTAGCCTGTTTAGCCCCAAGGTTTTCTTCCTAAACTAGCCTGGCTGCTACAGCAAAGCAAGAGATGCACTTAACTAGAATAGCAGCCACCCCTCCCCCGACAAAAGAAAAACCAGAGGGAAGGTGTTGGAGCAACCTTGTGCCACTAGGTTAACACACACAGTTTCTTAAGTAATGCCTCTCCTTGTAAACCTCTGCAAAGTAAACCCTACAGCAGCAGAAGGGCTTGCTGCTACCAGTGGGGGGTGGTGTTATGGACGTTAGATTTGAGAAGCTTATATAGCACATGGGCGAGGATAAAGGGATACAAATCAGAGAAAAAAAAAAAACTGAAGAGATTAAAAAAATAAAAAAATCCAGGGCCAAGTATTTACCGCTCATTCCCCTTGCGAGTGGTGTTATATATTGTCTGCAGTGAGTCATGCTGAGAGCCAGCCAGGCACAATAATAGCTGAGAGCAGTCCTGCAGCCCCTTCGTTATTGCCTGTGCTGGCTGATACTGAGTTGGGTGAAAGAAAGTGATTCCAAAAATGTTCTTTTTTTTTTTCCTTTTCTCCTGTTTCCCAAAGGGCCCAGTAGTGATTGTTGGGGCTGTACTACCTTGAAAGAACTGCTAAACTAAAATCAAACATATTTTTAAATTAATTTTCTGGGGACCGATACAGTGATTCACATAAAGGACGTAGCAGCTTTAAACGCTATACAACAGAATACTGTAGTGCTATATACCCTAGTAAAGCTTGAAGCCTAAGGAGATTTATGATATCATAGAAACATTTCAACCTCACCTTTCAACTGGAATTAGGAGGTTTCAAAACGGTAGGTGTTCATCTTACAATCCAGCTAATTATAATAGTTTGCCCCCAGCTTCCACCTGAGGAGCTCAGAGATATTCACGCGTTAATGAAATGAGCTGTACGCACAGCCCTGCAATATACCGTATAGATGTAAAGATCCGTATTTTGTAAAAGGAAAAAAAAACAACAAACCCACCCCAAAAAACAAGGCACAGATTCAGTTCTCTATTTTCAAAGCTTTGCACGGGCACAAGCACCCAAGAGAGTATTTCACTTGGTGTTTGGTGAAGACTGAGCATTCATGATACTTTTTTAGAATAGTTTTTCACAACAACAAAGTGTAACTTCTGTGTTCAAAACAAGTCAAGTTTCACTGTAGAGACAGATGGAAAGATACCCATACAAGACATGACGAAGTGTTGTGGTCCAATAGGACTGCAAAGAGTGGTTCGTTGATCAAATGCCCAGCATCATGTCAGTGTGGAGCAGGAGAAATTGCATGTACCATCATGTCAGCTTCACTGGCAAATGCTGTAAACATGAACTGCCACTTGGCTGCATCAGGAGACACACACATATATATATATATGAGACATTGACATATAACTGTCAAACTCTTCAGAGACCGTCTCAGGTGTTCTATATCCCAATTTTTTTTCACAACACACAATACAGACATCAGAGATTTTCTGCTTGGGAGGTAGTGCTCTACAGAAATAGCCCCTTTCATATAGGCGGTTAACATTTTATAGATACTTCTCTCCCAGCATGCTGTTCTGGCCCATTACATGTAATAAATGCAAACCACTATAGCCTTAACATGCCCTTTTTATGTACATTGCTGGCTGCTACAAGTGCCCGTCTATCTGCTGAGCACTCAGAAAGCAGCCCAGTGCAGGGTATTTTGGAACACAACTGCCTCTTTGTTGGGGACATGAATCATGGAAGAGCTGTACTTCTGGTCTCCCACATCCACTAGGTCCTTTGCAGAAACGCCTGTTTGCATCTGGACAACATCCGTGTTTTCACTGCCGGCTGTTTAGCTTGCACTCGTGCATGCGGAGTGACTAATCTGGAATAGCAGGAACCTGTAATTTTGGGAGCAGCTCCATTAGCGGTCAGAGGTACCCTGCTCTTCTGCCAGTCCAGAGGCTGCAGCGAGTGAGCTCTGTTTGGCAGAGTGAGGTTTTGCTGCTCCATAGCTCCAGCTGCTCTTCTGAGCTCTGCTCAAACACAACATCTGTCAGTGCAGCAGGACGGGAGGTGGAGGAAGCAGGACACAGGACACGAGACAGATGCATGTGCAGTCTGGGGGCAAGGCCATAAACCTGACAGTGGTTAGGAAACGGTCACAGGCAAGTTCCCTTGTTTTAGAAATCTCCTGAATGTTCACCCTACCACTAGCTCGGCCCTTCTTTTATAACTCCCACATGAGAAAGCGACATTTGGATATCCTCCCAAACCCCTTCCCCAAGCAATTGTAATTTAGATTTAGGACAACCGATTGATCAAAGGAAAGGGGAGAGTCTCAGAGGGTTTCGGATGAGCCCTTACAAGTCCCTAAATATGAGGAAGTGTGGTATACACTCACCGCCTGTAATAACACGGAGCTTTGAACACCCCAGTGTGTTTCTGCAGCGTTAGCCAGCGGGGTTTCCTATGCCAGCGCTGCCGAAGTAAACAATACCCAGTTTTTGGGAGAGGAGGTTTCTGACAAACCCCAACTTGAGCAGTGCCACAGGTGGGCTGGAGGAGACGCCACCTTAAG